AAAGAAAAAAAATTGCTCAGGCCAGAGCGATAGCAGAGCGGGGAGGAGGGCCTTTGCCTTGCATGTGACTGACCTGGGTTCCATCCCAAGCCTCCCATATGGTCCCCCAAGCACTGCCAGAAGTGACTCATGAGTGCAAAGTCTGGAGTAACCCCTGAGCATCGCTGGGTGTGACCCCCCCTCCCAAAAAGCCAAAAAAGGAATACAAACAAAAATTCCTCATCTTACAATGCCAGCATGGCCAAGGACCTTTCCATAAGAGTACATTTTCTCTTATGTATGCAAAGTACATTTTCTCTTATATCAAGCTCCTGAATGAAGACCAAGAAGAGAATTCAAAGCACTGGAACATACAGCTTATGCGCTCTGGGCCCTGAGTTCAATCCCATTGTGTCTGTCCTGGCCTGCCTGGGAGTGTGACTGCATTGTCTCTGGTGTCCCAGGCATCTGGGGACCTGAGCAGCACTGCATTCCTGGGCCTGAACCAAGATCCATTCTGCTCCCCTGAGCACTGCTTGGGAAGCCCCCTTAAAAAGAAAAGATCCTAAACAGAATATTAGTGAGTGAAACACAGTGGTCATTAAAAATGGTAAAACACTGATTGTCCTGGTGCTTTTTGATTCACGGTTGTCCCGACTTGGATTTAGTGATACTTAGTGAGACGTGTAACATTGTAAAAATTGTTCAAGTTATGGAGAGTATGGCACAGCAAGTAGGGTGTTTGCCTTGCATGCTGGCCTGGGTTTGATTCCTGCGTCTTTCTCAGAGCGCCCGGCAAGCTACCCAGAGCCTGGCAAGCTCCCTGTGGCATATTCAATATGCCAAAAACAGTAACACCAAGTCTCACAATGGAGACGTTACTGGTGCCCGATCGAGCAAATCAATGAACAATGGAAGGACACTGCTACAGTGCTACAATGGAGAGTCAAACTTGCAGTAGGAAATAGAGCTTTGAGTTGTGTGCATTTCTGTCTGAGGATTATTCTTAGTATTTAGGAACTCTCTGACAGTTTATTATAAAAAAACGTTTTGAATTTGCTGGGGAGTAGGAGGAGATCTTGAGGGACGCTGACCCAGGCGGTGGGGATGGTATTGAAAAGTTGTATGCCTGAAGCCCCATTAATAGCAATATTGTAAATCATGGTGCTCAAATAAATATTGGCGGGGGGGCAGTGATTTGCTGTTCTCAACAAACTTTCTTCAATATGGGAGTAATTTTTTCAATATAGTTTTCCTGAGTGTTCACTAAAAATGTATTTTTTTCATAACTAATACCGTTAGCATTTAAGAGACCTTTCTTAAAGTTTCTGTTTTGATATAAAATAGTCTTTGGACTTGTTTCAATTACTACAAAATTTTTTATTGCATGATAGTGTTTATGTTGGCCCCATCTCATTAGCTAATGGACTAGTTCCAAGTTTTAAGCGGTATATCTTTCTCCAAGCAAACTTTCAGAGGCGACCGTTCTCCTTTCCTTTTAAAAAGCAAAAAGTGATCGCTTTTTGCATTTACTCCTAAGAAGGAGACCATTAGCTAGAGACTAAAATCTTTTGTTACACTTATTTAACTTCATGACTAAGTGTTTTTTCTTTTTTGTTTTTATAAGGTTGATTTAATGCCTTAAAATAAATTATATGTCTAATATATGTATATATGTACATATCTATGGAGGAGAAGTGGAGGGGAGGGCAGAGGGAGAAGAGACAGATGAGAAGCAGCGGGGGCCAGGTCAGGGTAGTCAGGTACAGAGTTGTTGTTAAGGAACGATAGAGCCAAATATCCAAACCACTGAGTCAACAACACTGAAATCACGAGACCCAGATTTCAATAACCACACTTAGAAAGGCGTCTGTCGAGGGCAGGCTGGAGGAAGTATGGGATGTGGGTGGGAACCTGGGGACACTAGTGGAGGAAAGTTGCCTCGTGATGGGATCTGTGCTGCAATATTGTAGGTATAAAACTCATCTGTGAGTAACTTTGTAAATCGTGGTGCTTTTCTTAAATAGCAAAAATTCTACTTGAAAAAATAGAACCAGGTATGTTGTAGAAATCATGTACGGCATGATTATGTTTGTGGGGAAGATCTCCCTAGTGAGGGTCAGAGCCCTAGAAGTCCACTCATAGCGAGTTGGGGCCAAGCAGTCACATTGTTCAGTGTGAGGGAAGGACCGAGAAAAGTGATGCTCGGGCCCCGTGGGCATGGGGACCACCAGGCCCCACCCAGCCATGGGAACCGGACTGTACCGGGAATCAAACCAGGCATGTGTGAGGCCAAGGGCCTTAGTCATTGTGCTGATTCTCAGCCTCAGTGCTGTGACATTTTAAAAAGCTGAACTTGGATGAAAGTTGAATGCAGACTGGATAGGATATTATTTAAGATGTTGTTGTTATAAAATTTGATGGTTGTTGTAATGACATTTTGTTATTTTTTAAAAGGAAATTCCTGTGTATTGAGAACACATGTTGAATACTTATAGGAGAAATGATGCATAGGATTTTCTTTAAAATATCTCAGAAACAAAACAAAACAAAAACAACCAAGGAAGGGAGTCTAGATTAAATAAAATGGGCCTAATGTTGATCATTTTTAAAGCTGGATTAATGGAATGTGAGGTTCATAGCACAGTTTTCTTTATTTTGCTTATTTGAAAATCTTCATAATAATATGAAAGAGCCACAAAACTCATAGGAAGGAAAAATTTAACACATTCTGTCTGATTTCCATTTTGAAATATAGTAACATAGTCATTGTATTTTAAACAAATAGGGCTGAGTAGGGCTGGAGAGGTGACTCAGAGGGCTAATGCAGATGTTTTGCATGTGGGAGACCCAGGTTTGATGCCTGGCGCCACAAGGCTCCCCTGAGCACCATCAGAGTGATTCCCTGAGCACTGCCAGGTGTGGCTCCAAATCAGACCAAACAAATCCAACCAGTCGGCAAACAAAATAGAATAGTGATTAATTTCCAATTTACAGGAAGGAGAAATTTGTAATTTTCTTCTGTATCTTTTTTGGGGGAAGGGTTTGGGGTATTACTGGTCGTGCTCAGAGGTCAGTCCTGGGGTCATATATACTGTCGGGGGTTGAATCATTGTTGGCCAGTACATGTGGCAAGCGTCTTAATCTCTGTACTGTCTCGCTGACCTATAATTTTTTTCTCTTTAATTACCCCCCACTCCAACTACTCCCCTCAATTTCGTCTCTTTAGTGAATCTTGTGGGATGGCATGTTTAGTGGAACTAAACTTCACAGTAATTTAGATTCTTTTATTATTTGCACAGATCACTTACTCTTTTCCCATTAAGTTCTTAGTAGTTGTGTTCAGATGTCATTAATACATGTACTTCTCCCTTTTAAACAAAGTGTATCTTTCCATTTATTCAAGTCTTCTATTTTATCCTGTTTATTCTGTTTTTGTTATTTGTTTTTCTGTACTTTAGCACATGGCCAAATACTTCATTTTCTCTGGCGTAGTTATAAATTAAAAAAAAAATTAGTTTCTTTGTTCCCATTGTTAGTATATAGAAATGCAATGAATTTCTGAATTGATTTTATAGCCTACAACTCTGTTATATTCACGTGATAATTCTTGGAGTTTTTATTAATTTCTTGTGATTTCCTGTGTAAACAGTGATGCCATTTTATTTCTTCCATTTACACCTGTGTTATCTTTTTTACTGTGTCTTTTTGTACCACCAAGATTTTTAGTTAGTTGAAGAAGAGTGGGGGGAAACATCCTTCTCTTGCTCCAGATCTTGGGGGGAATTATTCACCTCTGTGCCATTTCCTGCGTGTTAGCTGTAGTTTTTACAGATAAATCTCGAATTGTGTAAGTTTTTTTCTGTCATAGTAAAATTAGTTTTTCTCAGTGGGTATTAAATTTTGTGAGTTAATTTTTTCAATTGATATAAGATATTTTTCTTGTTTCACCTGCCAACAATAGTGGATTAACATTGACAGAATTTTGAATTCGTTAAAGCAGGTATACAAACTTGAAGTTAATTCCACTTGGTTATGATGGCTTTATCATTCTACTTACCCATTGCTGGATATGATGATATGCCAGTATTTTGTTAAAGTTATTCAACATGAATTCTGGCTTCCATTATTTTAGTGTGTTTTGGGCATCAGATTAATAGTAGCCTAGAAGAGGGAGGAGTATTCTGTGTTCTGGAGTGATTGGAATATTTATGTAAAATAAGTATCCTTTAAAATATTAATCCCTTAAAAATGTTCAATAGAAATTGTAAGATAAACTGTTTAAGGATTTCTTTGTGGGAAAGGGGGGCAGTGTTAAATCACAAATCCAATTCTTTTACTAGTTCAATATTTCAGAAGCTCTTTTTCATCTTTAGTAAGCTTTGTAGACTTGGTTCTTATATTCTTTTTTGTTTGTTTTGTTTTTTGATCACTCTTGGCAGTGCTCAGGGCTTATTTTTGGCTCTGCAGTCAGGAATTGCGGCACTCTGGGGACCACAGGGGTGCCGGGAATCAAACTAGGGCTAGCTATTTGCAAGGCAGATGCCCTATCTGTTGTACTAGTTCCAGCTCCTTGGTCCTTATGTTCTTCACTGAATTTCTAAGTGTATAAAGTGTTCCCATATCATGCTTTTATTGACTTTAAAATCTGAGTCCTAAATGTCCCTGGTTCATTCCTGATACGATTTGTGTCTTTTCATTGTACCTTTATCAGTCTTACTTGTTTAGCAATTTTGATCTGTTTGAAAATACTTTATATTTCATTGGTTTTCATTATTGTTTTCTTGTTTCCACTGTCGTAATCTGAATTTGAGTTCTTATTTGAAAAATAATTATACCTATTTCAATGTGTTATTGTAGGAATTAGAGATTCAGCAGACTGACTCCAAGACTGCTCATGAAATTACACAATATCTAACTTTTGCTCTGTTAGTTCAATAGGAATTTGATTTAGGAAGTGTCTTTGCTAGTTTTTGTTATCATTAGAATTCTAGATTCATTTTCTTTCCTTGTTTGCCTAGAGCGCAAAGATGCTGAAGGGTGGGAGACTGTTCAGAGAGGAAGACCTGTGCGCTCACGGTCAACGGTGGTGACGCCGAAAGTTCTGCTAGCAACGGACGTGTCCCGGTCTAAGGATGATAGTGACAAGGAAAATGTGCACCTTTCCCCCACTGAAGCCGTGCAGAAAGGTGAATTTCCTGGAGATGGACCTTCTAGTACGCTAGACTCTCGGCCCAAAGACTTGTCACACACTTGTGATCATCCTCTTGCTGAAAGAACCCAGGTAGTGCATTATGGAAATTCTTTTTCTCCCTTTTATAAGGGATATGATTTTGGTGGATTGTCTTTTATGTTCTACTTCATAACTGGGTTTTGATTGTGAAAGATTTCAGAGGTACAGAAGTGTTTCAAGGATAGAACCCTGCATATATATTAAAAATATGTATATATAACCCTGCATATATATTAAAAATATGTATATATAACCCTGCATATATATTAAAAATATGTATATATGCATGTTTGTATATACAGATTCACCTTTAGCCACATTTCCTCCACAATCACATGCCCCACATATATACTGCATCACTTATCACTTAATCACTTAATCCCCGTTATTCATCGATTTATTCGAGCGGGTGCCAGTAACGTCTCCATTCATCCCGGTTGTGTGCTAGCGTAGCCCAATGGTATCTGTTCGTTTTAGGAACATGTAGAGCCTCAAACCGATATACTGCATACCAAACATTTAACCACAATATATAATTGTATAGTCATTAAAACCATTTAATCAGATAGTATAGCATATGTTTCCAAAGGAAAAAAGAATTCTTTTTTTTTTTATGCTACATGATTCTTTTTATTATTATTATTTTTAGTGAAACACCATGAGGTACAGTTGTAGATTTACAATTTTTTGTGCTTGGGTTTTGATTATACAATGATCAAATACCCATCCCTCCACCAGTGCCCATTTTCCACCACCATGGATAACATCCCTCCCACCCCCATCCCTCCCATCTCACCCTGCCTCTGTGGCGGGCAATTCCCTGTGTTCTCTCTCTCCTTTTGGGTGTTGTGGTCTGCAAAAGAGGCTTTGAGTGGCAGACATGTTCAGTCCATAGTCTACTTTCAACATGCATCTCCCCTCCTGGGAGGATCCTCCAAACACCCTTTATTTGGTGCTCCCTTCTCTATCTGAGCTGCCCTTTCCCCTAGAATGCCCGGCTGGCCTCTTAGCTATGGAGTAATCCTCCTGGTGTTGATCTCAGCTATTCTTGGGTATTAATCTCATATTTTGTTTCTTTATATTCCCCAGATGAATGCGATCTTTCTATGTCTATCCCTCTCTTTCTGACTCATTTCGCTTAGCATGATACTTTCCATGTTGTACCACTTATATATACATTTCATGACTTCATCTTTTCTAACAGCTACATAGTACTCCATTGTGTAGATGTACCAAAGTTTCTTTAACCAGTCATCTGTTCGTGGGCATTCAGGTTTCTTCCAGTTTCTGGCTATTGTAAAGAGCATTGCAGCACTCTTTACAGTAGCCAGAATCTGGAAAAAAACTGAGCGCCCAAGAACAGATGACTGGTTGAAGAAACTTTGGTTCATTTACACAATGGAGTACTATGTAGCTGCTGGAAAGTATCATGTTAAGCGAGATGAGTCAGAAAGAAAGGGATAGACACAGAAAGATTGCATTCATCTGGGGAACATAAAGCAACAAAATGGGAGACTAACACCCAGGAGTGGCCAAGATTAGTACGAGGAATTTTGCTCCATGACTTGGAGGCCAGCCACACGTGCTAGGGGAAAGGGAAGCTCAGATAGAGAAGAGAGCACCAAATAAAGGGTGCTGGGAAGATCCTCCCAGGGTGGGAGAAGCATGCTGAAAGTAGACTATAGACCAAACACTCAATGCCTCTCTTGCAAACCACAGGACCCAAAAGGAGAGAGAGAGAACAAAAGGAAATGCCCTGCCACAGAGGCAGGATGGGATGAGGGGGAGAATAGGGTGGTGGTGGGAGGGATGCTGGGACCCGTGGTGGTGGAGGATGGGCACTGGTGGAGCGATGGGTACTTGGTCATTGTATAACTGAAACCCAAGTGCAAAAATTTGTAAGTCTGCAACTGTACTTCATGGTGTTTCACTAATTAAAAAAATAAATAAAACTAGTATTGTTTTAAAAAAAATAAATAAAAGGTGACTACTTTCAAGAACTAGAAAAAAAGAAATTTATATTTATGCATTTTTGACAGGAATCAAAGAACAGTGCTGAGTGTCACTTGCAGGAGCATCTGATCTTAACCTTCCCATTTGTTAATTTTGATGATTTTGATGAAGCGCTACCCTCTTGCTTCATCATTCTTAAAAATTCTGATAGAGGGCCAGAGAGATAGTACAGTGGGTAGGGTGCTTGCCTTGCATGGGGACCACTTTGAATCAATCCCCAGCACCCATATCTTCCCCCAAGTCTACCAGGAGTTATCGCTGAGCACCACTGGGTGTGGTGCCGAAACAAAGAAGTAAATACCTTATGTTGGTTTATGTGATAGTAACATGATTTGACAATTTCAGGAATAATCCACAGTAGAACTTTTGAGTAAGTAGCTATTGATGGAAGTTCTCAGTATACAGGTTTATATCTGATTGTGGGGAAACTAATAATACTGCCATTCTAAAAATGAAATTAGCATATATCTATCTTTTTCAAAAATTGCATTACAGTTTAGCTCTGATATTGTTACATAAATTACATTGACTTTTTAATAAACAGGGTTGGCTCTATTGTAAACACCAGTAATGCTAATATAAATATTGTCAAGAAGATTATAAACCATGGTGACTTACGTATAGATAATGTTGATAGTACTGTAAACAATGTGATACAATTTAAATAATGTTCTTGCTAAAATCAACACTTAGAGACACTTTAATTCCTGACCAATAGTACAATTTTTAAAGTAGTTTATAAGATTTGGCCAAGTTTAATATTTATATAAATAATTAGACTGGGGTTTTATGGCCATTGGAATGTTTATATAATGTTTATTTAAATAATTATGTGACTTTTAAATTCACAACTCTAGATTTAAAATTTTGCAATTGGAGCTCATTATTCTGGATATAATTGGAAAACAGCACTTTTCTTTCGGTATTGTGTTATAACTTGAAGTTAAAGCCTAGTTCTAGTGATTAAGATTGCTCGAGGCCCTCCCATTGATCATGGATTTGCTCGAGCGGGCCCAGTAACGTCTCCATTGGAGACTTTGTTGTTACTGTGTCTGGCATATCGAATACTCTCGGTAGCTTGCCAGGCTCTCCGAGAGGGGCGGAGGAATCGAACTCGGGTCGGCCATGTTGGCCGCTTGTAAGGCGAACACCCTACCGCTATGCTATCACCAAACACAGTAACAACAATGATTAAGATAGAAAGTTTAAAAAAAAGAACGTATATTTTGCCTCAGTATTATATTTGTTTTAGGTTGTTTTCACTCTTCTGTCTGTTGCTTGTTATATATTCTAAAAGGTAATGGAAGGATATTGAACTCTAAAAACTATGAATTGCATGAGCTATAGGCTCAGATAAGATTGTACTTTTTTTACTGTAGTAAAATAGCTTTTCTTAATTAGCTTTATTTTATTAAAAATTAAATCCAAAACCTTGATAAAAATTAATGCAAAAGCTAGTTTTTATTTGTTTGGGTTCTTTATTTATTTTCAGAATTGATGCTGATTTCTTTAGTAAAAACCACCTTTACTAGGAAATAACTATATGAAATAGAAACAATCAATAGTGGGATTGAACAATTAGCAGTGCTGTGATATTCTGAAAGCTATATATACACATGCAAAAATGCTGGACTATCTTTAAAGACATGTTGAGATTCTGTTACTTATCTGTAAAGAGAGAAATTTTATACTTGGTGATAAGTCACTGTCACTGTCCTCCCATTGTTCATCGATTTGCACGAGCAGGCCCAGTAACGTCTCCATTGTGACAATTGTTACTGTGTTTGGCATACCGAATACATCACAGTAGCTTGCCAGGCTCTGCCGTGTGGGCGAGACACTCTCGGTAGCTTGTCGGGCTCTCCGAGAGGAGCGGAGCAATTGAACTCTGGTCAGCCGTGTTGGCCGCTTGCAAGGCAAACGCCCTACCCACTGTGCTATTGCTCCAGCCCTCAAAATATCAAAACATCTAATATGGTAATAAAGTAAAGTAAAGGCCCTCCCGTTGATCATCGATTTGCTCGAGCGGGCCCAGTAACGTTTCCGTTGGAGACTTGTTGTTACTGTGTCTGGCATATCGAATACGTCACGGGGAGCTTGCCAGGCTCTGCTGTGCGGGCGAGATACTCAGTGACCTTAAAATATATATATATATATATATATATATATATATTTCCTCAAATATATGATCATCTAATTTGATATGCCAAACACAGTAACAACAAGTCTCATGATGGAGACGTTACTGGGCCCGCTCAAGCAAATCGATGAACAACGGGAAGACCGTGATACCGTGAATCTTTGATAAGGGAGCAAGAAATATAAAATGGATCAGGGAAAGCCTCTTTAATGAATGGTTCTGGCAAAACTGGAAAGCTACATGCAAAAAAAAATGGGCTCAGACCTCTAACTAATACTATGCACAAAAGTCAGATCAAAATGGACAAAAGACCTCAACATCATGAAGAGAGACAGGAACACCCCAGAGGCCCTGAAGACACCGGGGCAGGGCGGAGCGGACAGTGGCGTGGATGGAGAAGAGATGAACTGTGTCTCTGGAGCCTCCTCCCAGCACAAGTCCTCACAAGTCCTCATAGACCAAAATCTATGAGTTACATCAAAAAAAAGGTCGGCAAAACCCTCCATGATATTGAAGCTAAAGGTATCTTTTTTTTTGGGGGGGGGACCACACCCGGCGATACACAGGAATTACTCTCTGTGGCTCTGGACTCAGGAATTACTCCTGGCAGTGCTCAGGGGGACCATATGGGATGCTGGGAATCGGAACCAGGTCGGCTGTGTGCAAGGCAAATGTCCTACCCGCTGTGCTATTGCTCCAGCCCCCAAGCTAAAGGTATCTTCAAAAATAAAATGCCACTGACCAAGAAAGTAGAAGCAGAGATAAACAAATGGGACTCTCTTAAACTAAGAAGCTTCGGCACCTCAAAAGAAACAAGTAACCAGGATACAAAGACAGCCTATGGAATGGGAAAGGATATTCACCCAATACCCTTCTTACAAGGGGTTGATATCAAGGATATACAAGGCACTGGTTGAACTCTACAAGAAAAAAATATCCAATCCCATCCGAAAATGGGGTGATGAAATGAACAGAAATGTTCTCAAAGAAGCAATTCGAATGGCCAAAAGACACAGGAAAAAATGTTCTTCATCACTAATCATCAGGGAGATGCAGATCAAAACAACAATGAGATATCATCTCACACTACAGAGGTTGGCACATTCAAAAGAACAAAAGCAACCAGTGTTGGTGTGAATGTGGGGAGAAAGGGAATCTCCTTCACTTTTGGTGGGAATGCCGACTGGTCCAGCCTTTTTGGAAAACAATATGGATGTTTCTCAAAAAAATTAGAAATTGAGCTCCCATTTGACCCAACAATACCACTTCTGGGAATATGCGCTGGGGCCCAAAAACACACAGCAGAAATACCACCTCCACTCCTATGTTCTTTGCAGCACTATTTTCTGTAGCCAGAATCTGGAAACAACCTGAATGCCCGAGAACAGACGAATGGATAAAGAAACTATGGTACATCTACACAATGAAATACTGTGCAGCTTTCAGGAAAATGAAATCATAAAATATCCTCATAAATGGATGGACATGGAGAGTATCACTGTCACTGTCACTGTCCTCTCGTTTTGCTCGAGCGGGCCCAGTAACATTGTGAGAATTGTTGTTACTGTGTTTGGCATATTGAATACGTCACGGGTAGCTTGCCAGGCTCTCAGAGTGGGTGAGATACTCTCAGTAGCTTGCCAGGCTCTCTGAGAGGGGCAGAGGAATTGAACTTGGGTCGACCGGGTTGGCTGCGTGCAAGGCAAGTGCCTACCCGCTGTGCTATGGAGAGTGTCATGCTGAGTGAAATGAGTCAGAAGAAGAGGGCAGATACAGAATGATTACATTCATTTGTGGTATATTAAAATATAACTATCGCCCAATCTGCCTATTGTCTGTCATCTACAAACTATTCACTCGAGTCATCCTGAATAGGATTAGCAGAACACTAGATGAAGGACAACCATGTGAACAAGCTGGATTCCGAAAAGGATTCAGTACCATCGACCATATCCACACAGTAACCAAGCTCATTGAGGTATCTCGGGAGTTCAAGATGCCACTCTGTCTAACGTCCATTGATTTAAAGAAGGCCTTTGATTCTGTTGAGACGGAAGCGGTCATGGAAGCCCTAGCCAATCAGGGCGTACAAACTCAATACATCAGGATCCTTCGTGAGCTCTATTGCAGATTCACTACCAAGATCTCACCATTCTACAAAGAAGTAATCATCCATATCAAGAGAGGGGTTCGGCAGGGTGATACCATTTCACCAAAACTCTTCAGTGCCACCCTCGAGAACATCATGCGACGACTGGAATGGGAAAACATGGGAGTGAAGATAGATGGTCGGCAACTACACCACCTCCGCTTTGCTGATGACATCGTTCTAATAACACCAAACATCAACCAAGCGGCACAAATGCTGGACGACTTTGACCGTGAATGTGGAAAGGTCGGACTACAGCTGAATCTTACGAAGACAATGTTTATGAGAAACAGCCTTGTTCCTGATGCTCCATTCGCTCTCAACAGAACCACCATCTCCGAATGCAACAGTTATATATACCTAGGTCGAGAAATCAACATGATGAATGACCTGGCACCTGAGTTGCGCTGGAGGAAGTGAGCGGCTTGGAATGCCTTCAAGAGCATTGAAGAAATAACTAAAAGGACAAAGAACCTCCAGCTACGAGCACATCTCTTTGATTCCACTATTCTTCCTGCATTAACATATGCCTCAGAGACCTGGACCCTACGAAAACAGGATGAGAACACTATTCGGGTCTCTCAAAGAGGAATCGAAAGAACTATGCTTGGAATATCACGATTCACTCAAATGAGAGATAGAATCCGGAGTTCTGATCTTCGTCCACGCTCAAGAATCAGGGACGCTGTCTCATTTGCCAAGACATCAAAAATCAGATGGGCTGGACACGTAATGAGGTTTACAGACAACCGCTGGACTAGAGCCATTACTGATTGGATTCCACGGGACGTCAAAAGATCGCGTGGACACCCACCTATAAGATGGTCAGACTTCTTCATCAAGACCCTAAATGATCGGTTTGAGGCTCTGCATGTTCCTAGAACGAACAGATACCATTGGGCTACGCTAGCACGCAACCGGGATGAATGGAGACGTTACTGGCACCCGCTCGAATAAATCGATGAATAAGGGGGATTAAGTGATTAAGTGATTAAGTGATATAGTAAAGAAGAATATCCATGACTAGGGAAAACAGGGGTTAGGAGATTTGGTCAGTGGTTGGAATTAACCACAAGAGTATATGTGGGGCTGAGGGTAGATAAGATAGAGAAGAGACCAGTATGACAATATAGCTGGGAATGATCACGCAGGACAAGATCTGAGTTTTAAAAGTAGATAAGGGGGTAATCTTGATAACCTTTCAGTATCAATATTGCAAACCACAGTGCTCAAAAGGAGACACAGAGAGAGACAGAGACAGAGACAGACACACACACACAGAGAGAGAGAGAGAGAGAGAGAGAGAGAGAGAGAGAGAGAGAGGAGAGAGAAGAAAAGCACCTGCCATAGAGGTAGGTAGAGGGTGGGGAGTGGGGACGATGGGAGGGAACCTGGGGACACGGCACTGGGAAATGGACACTGGTGGAGGGATGGGTGTTGGAACACTGTATGACTGAAATCTAATCCTGAACAGCTTTGTAAAGGTCTGTATCACAGTGACTCAATAAAAAAGTTTTAAAAAAGTACATAGGTTGCTTGGAAAAGGAAAGGTAAGGATGACAGAGTCATATATCACAGATTAGGGTGAGGCATAGCACTGCTTTCCCATGACTTATTTATTTTGGGGGCAGAAGTCTTCAATGAGGAATGTAGAGTATCTGATGTGCAAAATGATACATTAGATTATAAGAAATAAACAACGGAATTTCTGTTTTTTAAAAAAAATATTATAGAGATGAAAAGTGTCTTCTCATATTGGGCAGTCTTTGCAAAAACCTTGTTAAGTGCTTTTAGTTGAATATTAGATAAAGTATACTTCTGACTAAATTTCTTTTGTGGTGTATATAGTCCTTGTCAGAAAGTAGCCAACTAAAATAAAACTAATCATAATATATTATTTAATTTTTTCTAGCACTTCAGGTAGTATAAGTAATGCATGTTTAGTGCAGTTTATTTTATACTGTTATGAACAAAAAAAGATGACTCAGCCAACGGCTGTTTTGTAGTTTTATAGACAGGTTAAACAGAATCTCCTTTTTCAGAGTGAGCATTCTGTGTTTTGTGTTGTTGCTGATTCATTGTGTACATGTTTCGTTAGTTCACAGCAAGTGCAGTGGATGATGTCAAGAACTCTGGCCCTTGTTTCCTTCAAGAGAGTTCTGTGCGAACTTCTGAGATACCCGCGGTCCACATTGATGCAGGGGGTGGCTCAGTTCCTCAGCAAGCTGACGTACCTCCTTTGCAAACCACAGAACACACATTTTCTGCAGCGAAAGCGAAGATAGAGAGTGAAATGGACCCTTCAGATATTTCAAATGTGAGTGCTGCCCGCTTGGTAAGAACAACTTATGAGAATTCTGAGTTAATATGTTAAAGAGACATAAATCACAATAACAGTGTGTTGTTACTTTGCGTTTTACAAGTATTTTTTTTAAAAAACAAAAACTTCAGCATATCATTTTACATTAAAACATTTTTGTTACCCGAGTTCGATTCCTCCGCCCCTCTCGGAGAGCCCGGCAAGCTACCGAGAGTATTCAATATGCCAAACACAGTAACAACAAAGTCTCCAATGGAGACGTTACTGGACCCGCTTGAGCAAATCGACGATCACCGGGAGGGCCTTTACCTGTACCTTTATTGTTGGTGCGGGAGCCATACTTTGAGATTCTTGGGGTTCCAGGATGCATACACACAAATCGTGTGTGTTATCACTTGATCCATAGCCCTGACCCAGTATTTTTATTCTTTTTTTAAAATTTTTTTAGTGAAACACTATAAAATTGGATGTGGATGTGAGGTATAGTTGTAGACTTACAAATTATTTGCTTGTGTTCTGTGGGCTGGAGCGATAGCACAGCGGTAGGGCGTTTGCCTTGCACGCAGACAATATGGCCGACCCGAGTTCAATTCCTCTGCCCCTCTTGGAGAGCCCAGCAAGCTACCAAGAGTATCTCGCCCGCACGGCAGAGCCTGGCAAGCTACCCGTGTTGTATTCAATATGCCAAACACAGTAACAACAAAGTCTCCAGTGGAGACGTTACTGGGCCCGCTCGAGCAAATTGATGAACAAGGGAGGACAGTGATGATGATGGGTTTCAGTTATACAGTGATCTAGTACCCATCCTCCATCAGTGCCCATTCTCTACCACCAATGATCCCAGTATCCCTCCTAACCCCCCATCCACCCATCCCACCCTGCCTCTGTGGCAGGGCATTCCCTTTTGTTCTCTATCTCCTTTTGGGTGCTGTGGTTTGCAAAAGAGGTATTGAGTGGCAATCATGTTCAGTCTATAGTCTACTCTCAGCATGTTTCTCCCATCCTGGGAGAATCCTCCCAATACCCTTCATTTGGTGCTTCCTTCTCTATCTGAGCTACCTTTTCCCCTAGAATGTGTGGCTGGCCTCCAAGCCATGGAATAAACCTTCTGGTATTTATCTCGGCTATTCTTGGGTGTAAGTCTCCTATTTTGTTACTTTCTGTTCCCCAGATGAATGCAATCTTTCTATGTCTGTCCCTCTCTTTTTGACTCATTTCGCTTAGCATGATACTTTCCATGTAGTACCACTTGTATGTAAATTTCATGACTTCATCTTTTCTAACAGCTATATAGTACTCCATTGTGTAGATGTACCAATGTTTTCTTTAACCAGTCATCTGTTCTCGGGCACTCAGGTTTTTTCCAGGTTCTGGCTATTGTAAAGAGTGCTGCAGTGAACAAACAAGTGTAGATGTCACTTCGAGTATACTTTTTTGCCTCTCTGGGATATATTCCCAGGAGTGGTATTGCTGGGTCAAGTGGGAGCTCAATTTCTAATTTTTGGAGAATCGTCCATACTGTTTTCCAAAAGGGCTGAACCAGTTGGCATTCCCAGCAGCAGTGAAGGAGGGTCCCTTTCTCACCACATCCGTGCCATCACTGGTTGCTTTTGTTCTTTTGGATGTGGGCAGTCTCTGTGGTGTGAAATGATATCTCATTGTTGTTTTGATCTGCATCTGCCTGATGATTAATGATGTAGAGCATTTTCTCATGTGCCTTTTTGCCATTTGAATTTCTTCTTTGAGAAAGTTTCTGTTCATTTCATTGCCCCATTTTTTGATGGGGTTGGATGTTTTCTTCTTGTGGAGTTCAACCAGTACTTTGTATATCCTTGATATCAACCCCTTGTCGGATGTGTATTGGGCATATATCCTGTAGACTGTCTTTGTATTTTGGTCACTGTTTCTTTGGAGGTGCAGAAGCTTCTTAGTTTAATATAGTCCCATTTTTCTATCTCTGTTTTCAACTTACTAGGCCAGTGGCATGACATCTTTGAAGATACCGTTAGCCTCAATGTTGGGGAGGGTTTCGCCAACCTTGTCTTCAATGTATCTTAAGGATTCTGGTCTGATGTTGAGGTCTTTAATCCATTTTGATCTGACTTTTGTATATGGTGTTAGGCAGAGATCTGAGCCCAGTTTTTTGCATGTAGCTGTCCAGTTTTGCCAGCACAATTTGTTAAAGAGGCTTTCCTTGCTCTATTTCATATTTCTTGCTCCCTTATCAAAGATTAGATGATCATATGTTTGGGGAGAGATGTCAGTATATTCAACCCTGTTCATTGGTCTGCAGCTCTGCCTTTGCTCCAGTACCATGCTGTTTTAATTATTACTCCTTTGTAGTAGAGTTTGAAGTTTGGGAGGTTGATTACTCCCATTTTCTTTTTCCCAAGAATTGCTTTAGCTATTTGTGGGGGCTCATTGTTCCATATGAATTTCAGGAGTGTTTGCTCCATTTCTTTGAAGAATGTCATGGGTATCCTTACAGGGATCGCATTGAATTTGTACAATGCTTTGGGAAGAATTGCCATTTTGAAAGTGTTATTTTGTTGAGAATCTTCGCATCCGTCTTCATCAGGGATATCGGCTTGTAGTTTTCTTTTCTTGTGGTGTCCAAATCCATGAGCAGCGGATATCTTTCCATTTTTTCGTGTCCTCTTTTATTTCCTGAAGAAGTGTTTTGTAGTTTTCTTTGTACAGGTCTTTTACTTCCTTTGTTAAGCTGATTCCTAGGTACTTGATTTTCTGGGGCACAATTGTGAATGGGATTGTTTTCTTCATGTCACTTTCTTCTCTTTCACTATTTGCGTATAGGAAAGCCATGGACTTTTGGGTATTGATTTTATAGTCTGCCACTTCACTATACAAGTCTATTGTTTCTAGGAGTTTCTTGGTAGAGGTTTTAGGGTTCTCTAAGTATAGTATCATATCATCTGCAAATAGTGAGAGCTTGATTTCTTCCTTTCCTACCTGGATGCCCTTAATACCTTTTTCTTGCCTAATCGCTATTGCAAGTACTTCCAGTACTGTATTGAACAGTAGTGGAGAGAGTGGGCGGGCATCCTTGTCTCGTTCCTGAGCTTAGGGGGAAGGCTCTCAGTTTTTCCCCATTGAGGATGATGATTGCTGTAGGCTTGTGGTAGATGTCTTTACCTATGTTTAGGGAAGTCCCCTCTATCCCCATTTTGGCGAGGGTTTTCATCATAAATGGGTGCTGGATCTTGTCAAATGCTTTCTCTGCATCTACTGATATGATCATATGGTTTATGTCTTTTGTTTTGTTGTTATGATGGATTATGTTGATTGACTTCCAAATGTTAAACCATCCTTGCATCCCCGGGACGAATCCCACTTGGTCATGGTGTATGATTTTTTTGATGAGTTTTTGAATTCTATTTGCTAGTGTTTTGTTGAGAATCTTTGCATCTGTGTTCATCAGGGATATCAGCTTGTAGTTTTCTTTTCTTGTGTCTTTGTTTCCTTTTGGTATTAGAGAAATATGGGCTTCATAGAAACTGTTTCAGAGAGTTCCTGTTTCTTCAGTTTCTTAGAAAACCTTGAGAAGAACTGGCAATAGGTCCTCTTTAAATGTTTGGAAAAATTCGCTAGTAAATCCATCTGGACCTGGGGTTTAGTTTTTGGGAAGACTTTTGTTTACAGTTTCCTTGATGTGAATAGGTTCTATTCAGGTACTCTATATCTTCTTGATTCAACTTTGGGAGATGATGGGAATCCAGGAATTTATCCATTTCTGCTAGGTTCTCTTGTTTTGTGTCATTCAGACTTTCAAAGTAGTCTCTGATGATCTTTTGAATTTCTTTGGTTTCTGTTGTGATATCCCCCTTCTCATTTCTGATTCCGTTTATTAGGGTTCTCTCTCTCTCTCTCTCTCTCTCTCTCTCTCTCTCTCTCTCTCTTTCTTTGTGAGTCTTGCTAGTGGTTTATCTGTCTTGTTTATTTTCTTGAAGAACCAGCTCTTGGTTTCATTGATCTTTTGGGTTGTTTTTTGGGTTTCCATGTCGTTGATTTCTGCTCTAAGTTTTATGATCTCTTTCCTTCTGCCTGATTTGGGCTTCTTTTGTTGATCTTTTTCTAAAATCTTGAGCTGCGAAGTCAAGTTTTTTATGTGGGCCCCTTCTTCCTTCCTGAGAAATGGTTGCAGAGCTATAAATTTTCCCCTAAACATGGCTTTAGCTGCATCCCATAGGTTCTGGCAGCTCATGCCTTCATTCTCTTTTGTTTCCAGGTATCTTTTGATTTTGTTCTTGACTTTCTTTCTGACCAACTCGTTGTTCTATCTTGAGTTATTTAATTTCCAGGTTTTTTATTTGGTTCTCTGTGTCTGTGTGTGATTCACTTCTATTCTCAGTGCAACGTGGTCTGAAAAGATTGTTGATACTATTTCTATCTTCCTGATTCTATTGAGGTATGTTTTGTGGCCTAGCACATGGTCTATTTTGGAAAATGTTCAGTGTGCACTGGAGAAGAATGTGTATTCTTTCTTTTTGGGGTGTAAAGCCCTGTATAAGTCTATAAGCCCTCTCTCTTTCTATTTCTTCCTTCAAAGCCAATGTTTCCTTGCTGAGTTTTGTTCTTGTTGATCTATCCAGAGGTGATAAGGTGATGTTGAAGTCTTCAGCTACTATTTTGTTGCTAGCAATGTCCTCCTTAAAATCTGTTAGCAATTGTTTTAAATATTTAACTGTTCCCTCATTAGGTGCATATATATTTAAGAGTGTGATTTCTTCCTGTTGTATGTATCATTTGATTAATAGAAAATGGCCTTTGCTGTCCCTTCTAATCTTTTTCAACCTGAAATTTATGTTGTCGGATACCAGTATGGCCACCCCAGCTTTTTTGAGGGAGCTGTTTGCTTGCAGGATTTTTTCCCATCCTTTAAACTTTGAGTCTGTGTTTGCTCTGATTATTCAGGTGAGTTTCTTGTAGGCAGCAGAATGTTGGGTTCTGTCTCTGAATCCATTTTGCCACTCTGTGTC